TGTATATCAGCTGTAAATCATTTGTGTAGGTCGGGGTGTCTGGCATGAAAAGGTGACTAGTCATTCGGACAGGACGTTACACTGACGTCCCAGGTCGGTATGTCCATCAAAGAACCATTGCGGGTTGGATTTAAAAATAAGAGTAGGTTGTAACGTCGCTGTAAGAGTGTGTTATCCCTCATAGCCCCTTGTATGGCATATATCCACCATCATTAGCCCACTGTATGGCGTATATCCCGCATTATTAGCCCACTCTATGGCTTTTTCCATCTTCATGGCGTATATCCGTTTTCATATAGCCCTCTGTATGGCGAATATCCATTTTTATTAGCCCACTGTATGACATATATCCACCTTCATTAGTCCATTGTATGGCATATATCCATCTTCGTTAGCCCATTGTATGGCATATATCCATCTTCGTTAGCCCACGTATGGCGTATATCCGTCTCCATCAGCCCAGTTAGCGCAGAAACGTACGACGCTCAACCCCATGTAATTTCATTCCTCTTCCCATGATCATCTCACGTGCTAGACAAGACAGAGAAGCGTATCGTCGAACCGTGTACACCTTATCGTATCGTGTACGTAAAACAACTCATGTATATCAGGGCCCTGTTTCATAAAAACTTAAATCTCCTTAAAATCGTCTTAAACTAAAATTTCATCCTGACGTAAACATACATTATGTAAGAGCTAAATCTGCCTATTGTGGGTCTTTCTTTAGGCCTAAAATATTATATAAACTATACCCATTTATTTCATTGTAAGGCAATGTAAGCAATTAGGTGACGCCCCAAATAAGAACCCCCCCTCCCCCACCCCCCCCACCCCCAACAAAAAGAAGAAAAAAAATCCCTTTGTAACTATTTTATATATTACCATATGATTCAGGTATAAAGTATACTATTTTCAAATAATCAACAGACAACAAACAAACAAAAATATATGTAAAAAAAATAAAATAAAATAAAATCTGAACTCATTTAATATCTAACGTTATAGAAAGAAAAACATTCTTATCTATAAAAACAATATCTTCGTGTACAATGATTTAAAATGACCAATTATCGGTTTAAAGGCCGATAATACTAGACATGTCATATGCAAATTATTTACTCATATGTTTTTGGGGGTAATGATGATTTGTAAAAAGATAAAGTAATAATCTAAAATGTGTTTATTGAAAAATGGTATAGGTCTATTTGATTTTAATTTTAATATCATAAATTCATTATTATTTCTTGACGAAGGCTTACCTTAATAATACAACATAAATCAGAGAGGTTTTAGAAGCCAAAATATTTTATCTTGTGAAAAATTATTTTAATTTAGTAAGGTAGATAGGCATTATTCAAAAAGGAGTATGGAACTTTGGTATTTTCAAAGTATCATTGAAGGTCTATGGGTCTGGCATTTCAAATCTAGGCACCGGAACATTTACTATTGAGTGTATTAGTTTCAAAGTTGTTAAATATTTTTACAATTCGATAACAATTTACATCCTAGAATAATCGTTTGAGTTATAATTATCATAAGTTTGTGACAATTCTCAATAGTTTGTTATTCAAAATACCATAAAACTACGAAATTCAAACTCTTTGCTTTATCGACACGCATTATTTCCATTAAAGCCTGTGAGTAAATCAAATGCCAAGGTCACGAAAGCAGCATGCAAGTTCAAGGTCAAACCACCGATACATTTCGAAAGGAATAATACGCAATTAACTCATTTATTTCATCTCTTTACGACTGTCTGACCATGTGCAAATATTGCTACAACGTATGAAACTCTCCCCATTGATATTGTAACAGCTAGCTCAACCTGTCAAAACTTTTCAGTCCCGAAGCGTATTTGCTTACACCCTAAGTGCCCGCACCGGAAATGTGCAATGCGCGGGCGCAAACAATTTTAACTTAAATCTATTAAAAATGTAATTTAAATTACAATCGATTTTCCTTAAACGCATAAAGTTTAAAATTTCATTTTGATTGTAGTTAAAATTTATTTTAGTAATTTTAGCTCAAGGTTTAGACGTTCGCTACATGTCTACAATAAGCGCCGCATGAGAACAGACACTTTGAAAAAGTTTAAATAGCCTTTATGTGCATGAAGGGGCACAACGACATAAGGGGCACAACGACATTACAAAACAGTATGCTAATTGTTGGATATGGCGTGCAGAATGATACCCGGGCTAAATGCCCTTCTTGCGCTTTGCATACATGACCAATGCAATGATAAGACATACCAAATGCTAGTCTGATAATTTCCCTTGTTGATCGTCAACTCGAGATAAACCATACCATTTTGGTATTAAGATATATTTGAATGTGTGTAGGGGGCGGGGGGCAGGTTAATGCGTGCGCGTTGTATCATAAGGTCTGTCATTTCGTCAGCTGACATGGTTTCGATTCCCCGGTAATACAAGACACGGAGTAGTGTCGCCTGTCCAACCTTGTGGGTTTTCTCCAGTCTCCTCCCACTGCTACACTTCCCTACGCGCAAGCGAATTATTGAAATAAAATTGAACCAAGTGTTAGACCCGAAATGACCTGGTTTGTGTCGAGTGGACATAAGACCCTATCTCTCTCTCGCTCCTCCCTCTCTCTCTCTCTCTCTCTCTCTCTCTCTGCTTGCATTTAGGCTTTTAAAGGTCCTTCACAGTTATAGAAAACCGGCGGGCAAGCGACCCTAATCTGGATCACGTATAGGCGTGGGATCGAATCCACGCCACCTGACTCAATGACAGACCCAACCCACCTCCAGCAAGGCCGTACCAAGTTACCCTTTGTAGTTTTAATTCGTTTTTAAGTGTGCAGCACGATTGACTTTCAGATCTCCTTTGCACCGTGTTTATTATAGGTTCGGATCATCTACTTATCGTTGGTTTTGTGTCAACAACAATGTCAACATTTAACACCCGAGGGTTAAGACGTGAATTAACACTTGTTGGCTAAATTTCGGGATAATTCTGTTTTGACTAGATAATTGATTCAAACTTCCTTAAAAAGAGACCTCATTGTTAGGCTACCGGTTGACTTTTGTTTCTCTAGCGTTTTTTTTTTTCTTTTTTGTTTTTTTTCTGTTGTTTGCAGTCACAAGTGAGCCTCATTGGCTCAGTGAGTAAGACACCGGCTCTCTAGCCCGTAGGTCGAGGGTTCGACCCCTACGTTTGGCGAGAAAGTTTCTCGGATTTTCCGGCGTGGGTTCGCCCCTGTCAGTGGTGTAGGGAGGAGAGAGGACCTAACGAGGGCAGCTATCTAGTCGTTCGAATGTTATGACAAACCGCGGACGTGTGTACACATTGGCGTGTGCGTAGAAGAAGCCTTGGCTGTTGGAATTCCGATATAAGAGTAGTTCGGAGAGAGAAAGTTTTTAACTAGATATTCTGACTCGCGGACGTGTGTAGGCCTACACATTGGCGTGCGCGTAGAGAGAGAGCTGACTCGCAGGGGTCATGTTTCTATCTGTAATAATTTTAAAAGGTGAAAACTCAATATTAAAGGAGTTATGAGACTCGAAAGGTACATTTGGCGGTCATTTTGAATTTATGTAAATTAGGCCCTTTCCACTCCCCAGAATTCAGAGAACTTTGGATGTGTAACTTCTGTTACAATTTCTTCTTGGTCAACCCTTATTTTGACTGGAGTAAATACCTACATGCAGAAGATAACATGCGCAGAACAATATTAACGGTCTCTAAATAAAGGACGTTTTAGTAATCATTTCTCTTTGTAGTCTTAAAACAGACTTTAATCTTCATTGGCGTGACAATTGGAATTCGATATAAGAGTAGGCCGTAGTGCCGCTGTCCGGGCAAAATTTTCCTCATAGTAGCACATTGTATGGCGTATGCCCGTCTTCATTAGCCCAGTCGGAGCAGAACAATAGTTCGTGAAAACCCATTTCATTTCATTTCGTTATCTTCCTCCATCCAATGTTGTTTTGTTTTTTTTGTTTTTTTTTTGTTTTTTTTTTGTTTTTTTTGGGGGGGGGGGTCTCATAAGGGGAATAGCCTAACACTGTTAACGGTCGCTAACCATGTCTATTTGTAGTCTTAAAGGACAATATTGGTGTCAGTCATTATAAAATATGTGATAGAGCTCGTTAAATACATCCCAAATATAATTTTAACACAGAGATCATTGCTACGATAGCTGAGTACAAGCACGTGAAGAAGCTGGAAGTGACGTCAAACATGACAAACACGAGTTGTACTTTTATATAACAGACTGAAGTAACGAGCGGTAACAGACAAACGATCGAATTTCATTTCACTGGGTGGCGAGGGAACATTTTGGCTTGAGTACAGGATCAAAAGTTCCATTGTGTTACCCGGTCGGGACATACCTCAGAATGCACCATCGAATCTATTTTTTTAGACTTCGCGTTGGGCAGACTCCCACAAGGGATTCCCACCGCACTGGGCCATTGATTTGTCCCCCACCCCCACTCCTCGGCTCTGGCGATTATCATCATCGTCCAGTAACTAAGTTAAACTATCATCATCATCATCGTCGTCCAGTAACTAAGTTAAACTATCATCATCATCATCGTCGTCCAGTAACTATGTTAAACTATGATCCTCATCATCATCGTCATCCAGTAAATATGTTAAACTATGATCATCATCATCGTCGTCCAGTAACTATGTTAAACTATTATCATCATCATCGTCGTCCAGTAACTATGTTAAACTATGATCATCATCATCGTCGTCCAGTAACTATGTTAAACTATCATCACCATCGTCGTCGTCCAGTAACTATGTTAAACTATGATCATCGTTGTCATCCAGTAACTATGTTAAACTATCATCATCATCATCATCATCTTCATCCAGTAACTATGGTAAACTATCATCATCATCATCATCATCGTCATCCAGTAACTATGTTAAACTATCATCATCATCGTCGTCGTCATCCAGTAACTATGTTAAACTATGATCATCATCATCATCATCGCCGTCCAGTGACTATGTTAAACTATTGTATTACAGGCGTAGATACTAATAGAAAGGATACCACAGTGGGCATGCACAACATGTTTATAGCAACACAGAAAAAATCAACAGAAATTGGAAAAGAGGAGAGAATTAGAGTAGCTGTTAAAAAGGAATTATCCAGATCGTGAGTAACTTATCGTTTATGTGAAGCGGGGTTGGGTGTTCGAGTGGTCTGAAGTCTGCGGTTTATATCATGTGGTCTGTCGTTGAATCAAGTCACGTGGTTTTGATCCCAAGTGTGTACGTTACAAGCCGATTGTCGCCCGCCTAACTTGGTGGGTTTTCTTAGGGTCCCTCGGTTTCCCTCCACTGCTAAAGACCCCCGTGCGCAATCGAATTATATGATCTAAACTTGTAACATGTGTTAGTCTCGGGGTGATCTAGTGTCTATAGAGTAGACCGTTGTGTTGAATACCTGTATCTTATCTAAAGGGCGCGGATGTCTTACATACAAGTGTCGTATCGAACCACCGTCACTTAAATCTATGACACTTGTTTGTCGCTTTCACCGGGTAGCGTGCAGATGCTTGATGATGCCGAGAGTCAACCCCTTATTTGACTACCCATACGGAAATGAAATGAAATGGAGTTTAACGTCCTACTGTTCTGCTCTAATGAAGATGAGCATACGCCATACAGTGCTCCATGAGGGAAATTTTGCCCGGACAACGGGGCTACGGCCTCCTCTTATATCGAATTCCAACTGTCACGGGATCTTTTATCTGCACGCCAGGGTGAAGACGGAACCTCGTTTTTATGTCCCTTGCTAGACACTCGGCCCTGCCCATACGGCTATACGTTGTTCCTTGCTAGACACTCGGTCCTGCCCATACGACTTATGGCCCTAGTACACAGAAATGTGAGAAAGGAAAACATTTACAGCTGATAAAAAACTTAATTTAATCTCACTCTTTGATTGGATGCCCAACTGAAATGGATGACCCGACAAGGGGTCGTTGCCCACTGTCCCCCCCCCCCTCCCTGCACACCAATCCACCGGATAATATTTGATGAGTCTAATGTTTCAGTCTGAGGTTACTCTAATTCAAATACCCAATGTTGTGATGTGTTTAATGTTTCAGACTGAGGTTACCCCAATCTGATTACAACACAGATCCTATTTCGTTTCGTTTTTATAGTTCAAAATTTCGTTTTACTTGTCTTGACTACACTAGTATCTGGAAGAGTTGGTATCATTGACGTGTTCTGGTTGATGCGAGGGTTTAGCCAGTGAAACGAACGGTCTGTTACAGCGAGCTTTTGGCGTGTGGAACTGTGGGTAATCCACTAGAAATATCAATGCTCATTGATTGATCAAATCTCTGACGTCATAGGGTCAAAATCCGCTCGTACGACCTCTGACACGACTTATCGCTACATCCGGTCAGATCTTCATGTAGTGTAGGCCATCGAAAGTATAATAAAACGAAACGAATTATAGATCTATATTTTAATCTGATTGGGGTAACCCCTGATACAAATAGCCAAAACTGTGATGTATTTAAACATACATTATACAACAGCTAAATCTGCCTATTGCAAGTCTTTATTTAGGCTTCAGATGTTATATAAATTATTAATTAAACCTTTATTTACAAGACAAGCTTAATATCAACGCTGTAGACTCTCGGATGGCTTGGATACAGATTGGATTTAAACAGTCGTGCATTTAAAGTTAAATCAATAAATGGCGGACCAAGCTAACGTTTACCGTTAGTCGCTGATGTCGCTATCGGAAACTGGTGATGAAAGGCCTGCCAAGCGAGGCTACCATAGCCATTGAGCATGTTACTTGAGAATCGAGAATATGTGAGTGGAGTTATCGTCTGTCAATCAAACGATCGTCAATTCTCATAGACGGCGCAGACACAATTGATGCCTATTTATAGTCCAAACTTCCAGCAGTAACAATTCCGTTCAGAACAAAGTAATTTGACTGAAACTTTCAACATTTTCTTTTTTATCATCTATTTTTGAATTATTATAGCAAGAATGTCCAACTCTTTATAAAAATAATGTATATTTAATGTATTTAATGTTTCAGTCTGAGGTTACCCTTACTTCAAATAGCCAATGCCTTCAATGTTGATAGTTTATTGAGAAGAGCTGGTGTTACGACGACTACGGTACAAACCAGACGACTTGGTTGTAATGCCGCATCAGGTAATAGTATTATTCAGTAGAACAACCACATGATAAGAATGCTCCTTAAAACGGGCGCACATTGATTCAGCTAAACAAGAAATGGAAATCGTATCAATGTTCCGTGATAATTAAAACAATATGTAAACAATCGCTTAGCTAAAACAGCAGTATGTTAAAAATGTCCCTAATAGTACACTGCTTGGTGTATGCTCGTCGTCATTGGTGCAGAATAGTAGGAAGTTAAAACCCATTTCATTTCACTTGATTTCGAAACAAAATAGGTGTTGAATTGGGACCGGAGGACCTTGAGAAAACCCACAAAGTTCGTCCAGTAACACCCCCCCCCCCCCCCCTGTGAATATTCCATTCCCGATCAATGTAATAGTTGGGCACGACAATACTACAAATTTTGGTAGATATATCACTCGGTATAACTAAATTTAGCGAAGAGATGAGTTGGACTTGGCTGGATGGGTAGAATAGCCGCCAAAAAATTTCGAGAGACAAATCATCCCATGCAATCTTATGTAAAGGTTAAGGCTAAGACTTGGTTGCATGTTAATGATACCCGCCAAAATCATAGCTGTGGGGTATAAAATATTACATATTTTGGCGGACATATCACTCCATACAACTAGATGCCGTGAATTACATTACAAGAGTGCGTGATCCAAATGCGTTGTTTAGAACAGTAGGACATTAAACCCCATGTAATTTATTCCTTCATTATTACAGGAGTACGATGTGATCCTAATGCGTTGTTTAGAACAGCTGATGGAACGTGTAATAATCTACAATTCTCGAAATGGGGCAGTGCCTTTATACCTATGAGAAGATTTCAACCACCAGCATATGGTGATGGTAAGTTGAGATGATCTGTAACAAAGTACTTTATAACTTTCATCAAATTGAACGATCATTTAGGTGCTTAGAACTTTATGACCTCTGCTGGTTTTTGATAATATATGATATTGACGTTTCAACTCTGTATAAACTTCTGTTAAGGCACGGACTGGCTATGATCCAATTAAACATGTAATTAATCCCATATGTCATTTAAAAACTACATATGCTCTGTGTACAAGATCCACATGACTTCAAAGGAATATGCACTGGTCAGTAGGCATTTCGTGACGAGATAAAGGCGACAATTGCCTGTATGACCATGTGTCTTATCTATTCTCCGGCGGTATATAATCAGGAGTTTGACAGACGACTAGAGACGAGTGGAGACATAAGCGTGGTGGGGGTGGGGGGGGGGGGGGGGGGGCAAGCAGTAAAGGTATTAGATCTTGGTCTTAAATGTCTAAGGTCCAACTGGTGTTGGGAGACAAGAGTCTAGGGGATTTTCCAAGGCACGTTTGCAAGTGTTACCTGGTCGATGAGAGGGAATGAAACCGAGGCCCGTATGTGCCTGCGCTCAAGTAAAACAACCCCTTGACAGTTGTAATAGGATGAGTATACCGTAGAGATAATAACCGTATGGCAAAATGGCCGAAGTATTGTGTCAGACTCCATTCCTTTCATATCCTTTTGATGGATAATTCAATTTGTGACATTTGGCCGGAGGAATTCAATATGGCGATGTTGTGCTATTTTTTTCACGATGTGTTTTGTTGGGGTAGAATATTGTTCTGGATTATTAGGTTCGAACAATGAATTTTTTGTTGGGGTAGAATACTGTTGTCGATTATTAGGTCCGATCAATGATTTTTTGTTGTGGTGATTAACTCTGTGTATTGTATTCCATTAGGTGCATCTGAACCCCGAACACAAGGTGTTGACGGTTCACCATTACCCAGTGCACGAGTTGTAAGTCGTGAAATACATGAAAATGATCGAGGTCAAGGCGAGATGAGTACCTTAACACATATGGTGATGCAGTGGGGACAATTTCTCGATCATGATATAACTAGTACACCACATCAAACAGGTAATATATCTAGATGATACACTGCATCAAACAGGTAATATAGATGATACATCACATTAAACAGGTAATATAGATGATACAAAACAATGAACAGGTAATATTAGGGGCGGACTAGGGTCCGGGACGTTTCTCTCCCCTTGAGCGCAAGAAAAGTTCTGAAAAATTGACCGTAATTGGTGCGTTCCAGACAAGGGTATATGCTGGTGTTTCTAGCGTATCCACAGATTTAGCGTGTGCCAGATGCAATCGATGTAAATTTAAAACTAAAAACAGCCCCCAACTAAAAAGGGACCTCCGCACTAAGCAAGAACATTCACTTCTTTAGAGGTCAACGATCCTACCATACTTACAGATCCTGCTCAGTTCATCCCTGCTCTGAATCAACGTGCTTCCATGCGGTTTACATACCATTAAATATTAACAGAATACTTGATGATAAAATAGGGAAATATTGCTGGCCACATGAGACGCTATTTTAAATATATTCTTCGCCGACTTAATCCCACACGATTCATCAGATACGCGTGATTTATAAAACAATTCGCGCTCTTAAATTCATCACAGACTCAAGGTCGATGGCGTGACGAATTTAATGACAGTGAGACTTCGTTCTATTAAGTTTATTTTGTTTAATCTTCCAGGTCATGATGGAGCACAGATCACATGCTGTGAGGAGGATATTACGTCACCAACAGCTCGTTCTTCATTTACTGGTAATCTCACATCCAGGTAGAAAATATACTTTTATAACAAAAATATAAAAATGATGATAAATCGAGAAATAATACTCGAAGTCGTATGAATGAGAAGAAATTTTCAACACATTTCCATATAACTGTAACAAAGTCAACACATTCTGTTCGTCATACTGCATCCACCACCCTGGCCAAATCCGTGTTGTTCACACTGCATTCACCACCCCGATAGTAACACCAACCATATTACTCACCTGGACCTGGTAGCTCCTCTTCTACCAGAGGGGTTGCTTGGCTGAATGGTTAGCGTGCGTGCTGTATCATAAAGTCTGTCATTAAGTCGACTGGCGTGGTTTCGAATCCCCGGTTGTACGTGACAAGGAGTAGGGTCGCCTGTCCAACCTCGTGGGTTTTCTCCGGGTCCTCCGGTTTCCTCCCACTGCTAAAGACCCCTACACGCAAGCGAATTATAGAAATAAAATTAAACCATGTTAGTCCCGAAATGACCTAGTTTGTGTCGAGTGGACTTTAAACCCCATTTTTCTCTCTCTCTCTCTCCTCTTCTACCAACACCTGTTTAACGTATATGACGGGAACACCTGCCTATTGTTTCATCCAGTTATTTTGTGTTTATATTTTTCACCTAGTTAGTTGTATAGTCGTTCGGATGGGACTAAAAACATTCACGTTCACGTAAAATGTGCCTTAATAGATGGAATTCAATTAGGGTAGGCCATAGCGCCGCTGTCTGGGCAAGATGTCGTTCATAGCACCCTGTATAGCGTATAAGGTGCTGACTCACTAGTCTGGTTGTTCGATCCCTAAATGACAGAGAAAGTTCACAGGGATTTTCCAGCGGTGCAGGACGGAATACCTTACAAGAACGGCTGTCTAATCGTTCGCATGGGATCGAAAACCGAGGTCCCGTGTATACAATGACATGCACCTTAAATTCCCTTGGGAGATGGAATTTCCCTCATGGCACACTGAATGGCATATGCCCGTCTTCATTAGCCCTGTCGGAGCAGAACAGTAAGATCTTAAACCGTATTAATTGTTTCATTTCTTCATTAGCCTAGTCGGACGTTAAACCCCATGTGATTATATTTTCAGAGAAGCGTGTTTTCCTATTGATATACCACCAGGTGATAATAAATTTCGGACGAGAACTTGTTTGAACTTTGTTCGATCTCTACAGACAATGGATGCTTCATGTCGTACAGGTACTGTTTCTATAGTTCTATGAATTTGCAATTCCTTCTTTTGTACTACGATACCGTCAATCTGATTAAAACACAGATCCTATTTCGTTTCGTTTTTTTATAGTTCAAAAATTCGTTTTATTTGTCTGTACTACACTCAGGCCCGTAACTAGGATGGTGGGGCGCCCGGGGGGGGAGCCCCCTGCAATAAGTTTCGCCCCCCCCCCTGTGAAAGAAAATTCTCTACCATAAAAAATAGATATACATTGTCTATCAATATTACAGCACCCCCGAGAACACTTCCCTGCCCCCCCCCCCCGCCTTGCTGCTCTGCGCTAGTTACGGCCCTGAGCTAGGATCTGGAAGAGTTGTTATTATTACCAGCGTTAGCCAATGAAACCATCTGTTAGGGCGACTTCTTGGCGCTCTGATCCTCTCTAATCTTGTATACGTTTGTTTTGTGTGGATATTGGCCGTGTTGATTGGGTGGCCGAGTGGTCTAATGTGTGGGCTTTAGATCATAAGGTCTGTCATTGAGTCAAGTGACGTGGTTTCCATCCCAAGCATGTCCAATCTCGTCAGTTTCTCCGGGCCCCTACCACAATAATCCGGATATATTCTCAGAAAACGCTACAAAATAATAAAATAATGAGTCCCTTGGTTACTTAAAGATACATTACGGGTTATTAGATAAAGAGCTGGCAGTTACCCTATAGCAGTTAAAAACTAGATAATGTAAAGGGAATTTGCTGAAAATTTCAGTCAAATTAATCCACTCTGAACCGAGATTTTAGCGATTGAATTTTGGGTCTAGCCTTGATCATCATTACTAAAGTCGGTACGATAAAAAAAAACAACATAGTCTCGATTATCAAGTTTTTGATTTAATTATCAATGAGCTTTAAGCAGCAGATACGATCCAGAAAATATCGCAGGCTAGCGATGACATCGAGAGTTCTGGGTGAGTTAGTTAATGTCTAATTAAGAATCTAATAAGCAGATTTATCTCCTGTTAATGCATGTTTAAACAATGGCTGGGATCTTTTAGCCACGTTTCTTGTTTATTTTCAGAGCCTGTTGAACAGCTGAATCAGATCACAGCATACATCGATGGTTCTATGATTTATGGTTCCTCTCAAGACGAACAAAACAACCTCAGAGCTTTTACTGGAGGTAAAATGTTCGGATAATTATAACTTAGCAACAAGGAGAAACAACCCTGCACCCTAGCAACGAGGGGAGACAGCCCCGCACCTTAGCAGCAAGGGGAGACAGCCCCAAGGGGAGACAGCCTCGCATCCTAGCAGCAAGGGGAGACAGCCCCACGCCCTAGCAACAAGGGGAGACAGCCCCGCGTCCTAGCAACAAGGGGAGACAGCCCCGCGCCCTACCAACAAGGGGAGACAACCCCGCGTTCTCTGATAATTATATATAGATTTAGACAACCATCAAGCAAACTTCACGATGGTGAGCTCGGGGTTTGAAGCAAAACCAGTTGTTCAATATATTAAATGTCTGATTTGGATTCCAGACTTTCGTGTTAAAGATACATTACGGGAGATTAGATAGAGAGCTGGCAGTTCTCACTATAATAGTTAAAAACTAGATAATGTAAAGGCAATTTGTGAATTTTGGGCCTAGCTTCGATCATCATTGCTAAATTCGGTACAATAAAAAAAAAACACAGTCTCAATTAGATCGGATTCCAATCCAGTAAATATCGCAGGCTAACGAAGGCTAAGGGTTGATTGTGGTCTGGATAAGTTATACAATGCCTAATTCATAATTTAGATAAAATTTCAGGCCCAAAGAAAGACAGGCAGATTTAGCTCTTGTATATAATGCATGTTTAACTTGCTAAAGTTCAAGGCATGACTCTTAAGCTAAGAAATATATTATATAGAGATTGGGGTACTGCACACGAATAGACATTTAACAAAGAGAAAATTCAAATCGTTGCATTAACGGGCTTTTTTTGGGGCTCTTAACACTGAGAAAAACCCCAGTAGGTAACCAAGATGTCAATGTCAATTTTTCCAGCATGCTCCAATTGATCACCCTAGATGAAACTTATAGTCACTAAATCTTGATATAGAACAAAAATTGATGTCTAATACAGAGAAGGTCTGTAAACACTAATACAGGTAGACTGTAGGTATCTCCACGTGTTAAAATACATGTAACTAGTTTACCTTGGATTTTAAGGTATACGATATCATTTTATAATATACGTCTAACTAATTTCCCTTAGATTAAAAGGTGATAATATATACCTGTAACTAATATACTATATAGATAGAATGAAGGTATCACGTATTAATATACCTGTAACTAATTTACAGGTAGATTGAAGGTATCTGATAACGACTTGTTACCACCTGACAGAGAAGAATCATGTGTTAAATCTCGACAAGCTGATTTCTGTTTTAAAGCAGGTGAGTCACTTATTTAATATATCTAACGTCAATGAACAATCTGATTAAAATACACATCTATATTTCGTTTCGTTTTTACATACTTTCGATGGCCTCCACTACATGAAGATATGACCGGTTCTAGTGCTGAGTCGCGCCTGGTTTCATACGAGCGACTTTTGACCCTGTGACGTTAAACATTGATTAACCAATGTTTCTAGTGGGTTACCCACAGTTCCGTGCACTGCACGCCAAGAACTCGCCTTAAAAGGCTTTTTCATTGGCTAATCCCTGACATCAACAAGAACGCGGGTTATATAACATCTCTTTCAGATTCTAGTGTAGTAAAGACATGTAAAACGAAATTTGGAACTATAATAGTATCTGTGTTTTAATCAGATTGGTGAATGTATGAATGAATAAATGACGTTTTATGGCACGCCTCTCTAATAGGGCTATATTGATCCAAGCATATGGTGAAAAATCAGACAGGTTAAATAAGCCACAAACAATTTATATACATATAAAAACAAATATGACAGGGTTTTAAAATTAAATGATAGTTATAACTATGCATATAAATAAGAATATAAAACTGAAATATAAATTAAAGCTAAAAAGATTATCTTTTAAAAACTTTAGTGTCTTATAAAATAGACCGGTTTGGGCAAACAGATGGTTGGCAATGGTAAATTGAGACCTAATACCTTTGTGCTTAACAGTCATAGAAACATGGCAGAGTTGAAATTCTGGTTGAGATTCTGGATTTAAGATGAAAATGTGTGTGTTAAAAAAGTATGACCAATACGAGAGCGACACAAAACAACTTCATCTCTCCTGTTGGATGTGTAGGAGTTTGGCCTAGCTGCCTCCTGTTGGATATGTAGGAGTTTGGCCTAGCTGCCTCCTGTTGGATATGTAGGAGTTTGGCCTAGCTGCCTCCTGTTGGATATGTAGGAGTTTGGCCTAGCTGTCTCCTGTTGGATATGTAGGAGTTTGGCCTAGCTGTCTCCCAAGACAGCCAACGTGAATGAGAAATAGTGTCGTATTTTCAGGATTAATTCAACCCAATGCCACGGCAATATCCAAGCCGTTTGGGAGCAATTGAGAATCGTAGGTGTTGGTCCGGATTAAAATAAATAGTAAACTGTTTTCATGTTTCCAGGTGATGCCCGTGTCAATGAACAAATGGCTTTAGCTAGCATGCATACAGTCTGGTTGAGAGAGCATAACAGAATCGCCCAGCAGTTGGTTCAGTTGAATCCATCTTGGACTGATGACAGAGTGTTCCAGGAAACTAGAAAAATTGTTAGCGCGATGATCCAGCACATTACGTACAACCAATGGTTACCTATAGTCCTGAATAACCAGTATTCAAGTAGCAATAATTTGGATATAAAATCTAATGGCTTTGACGATCGCTATAATAAAAACATGGATGCCAGTATCAGAAACGTTTTCGCCACGGCAGCTTTTAGATTCGGACATTCGTTGGTCAAAACGTTCTTCTCACAACTTGCACGCGGTTATTCCGATAACGGACGCCATCTTGTCAAGGAAGCGTTTGGTCGTACGTCACATATTTTAGCTAACAGCGGAGAGGGCGTGAATCAGTACATCCGGGGATTAGTTAAAGATACCCCAGAGAGAGTGGACAGGTTTATTACGCCACAGTTGACAGATCATCTATTTGAAGATACGTTTGGTGATAGTTTGGATCTAGCCGCTCTCAATATACAGAGAGGACGTGATCATGGGATACCGTCCTATAACGTGTGGAGACAATGGTGTGGTCTGAGGACCTTCAACTCCTTCCAATCCATGCCTGGTCTACAAGCTGGTGCTGCTGAACAATTTAGTAGTATTTACAGGTATTTTTCACCGGACCTTTACATCATATCTCATCAGACTATGACTTTGATAACAATATGAATCTTTTATTATTCTATAAATTCTATAGATATGACTTTGACAACAATATGAATCTTTTATTATTCTATAAATTCGATTTTAAGATATGGCTTTGATAAAAATGTGAATCTTATAATATTCTGTAAATTCGATTTAAGATTTATGTGTCCTTTATTCGTTTTAAAACGATCATGTCTGGTTATATTAGGCGTTACGACTTAAACAGTATCTTATCGACGCCATTTTTGAATAAATAAACGTGAATGGGAAGAATTAAACGGCGTGTACACGATACAACCAATCCATACAACCGTCGAAAGCAGAGGTCGCATCTGTACAACTCATCAGACAAATGGTCGGATGAACAGCTTGTTGTATATATATTCTCATTCAACGAACTTATGCAATAGCCAATCAAATTGGGTTATGTTAGACGACATCATATCATACGGTGTATGACGTCATATCTTACATAGCAACCATAATCTCTGTAGCTGCGACGTCCTCTAAAATAGATTTAAACCTATCCGCGACTGAATCGTGGTTTATATAACTCTGTATGGGGAATATGGGCTTTAATTGAACCCGCGGCATCCAAACTGCTCTTTTTACACGTTCTTCTTCAAACAACGCCATTTTTTTCTCAGTTACTAAGAACGAACAAATGATGCTGCAGGCGTCTGGGCGTTTGGCGTCATTTTTCCGTAAAGCGCTTAGAACCATTGTATCAAGTAAATTCCTTCCGATATGTTGCATTTAAAGATAACGTCCTACGCTCAGATGTCACAAACCGTTTTGTGTATCAACTTACTCGAGATCTTTAGCGAAGAAGGGAACGTTGGTCAGCCAGCACCTGATTGTCGTCCTTCGAGCAGTCCTGAGTAGTTTTTGTAATTTTATTACCTGTTCCCAGGAGCAATACCTTTGGGGTATGAATGATCCTCATGAATAGCCCCATTAGTAACACCTTTACCTTTGACAGACGGGGTGCAGTCGATAATTTTATTATGCCTATATTTAGAAACCCAGAAGACATTGATGCATTTTCTGCTGGATTATCGCCCTTGATCAAGTTCTATTTACAGCTCCTGAAGATACTGGTTTATTATTAGAATTGATCATGTGATTATTTCTATTTATAGATCTCCAGACGACATCGATGTATTTTCTGGTGGATTATCGGAAATAAATATAGACGGTGGTCTGGTTGGACCAACAATCGCCTGTATTTTAGCTAATCAGTTCCGTGCTATCAGAGAAGGGGACAGATTCTGGTATGAAAGACCAGGAAATACAGGTTTCACTCAAGGTAAACATCTTTATTGGATAGTTTTAAATACCCTTTAAAATCCCGAGCGGAGGGGTAAGGGGACGGGAGATGAGGGGGGCGGGTAGATTCTGGATGATTAACCAGACAGAAAAAAAAAATATTTTTCACACAAGGCAAACGAAATTACCGGTTTGGGTCCACGGGGGTTCAGTGAGTAAGACGCGAAATGCGCCCCCCCCCCTCTAATTTTCGACAGTGCCCTTTTTTACTGCTGAAAGTGCCTTTTCTCAGACCCAAATATGTCCGTTCCCAACCTGTTGCAGGGATCCCAAATGACTCATACCATCGACTCAAACACACCAGTCTGGTCTAATTAATGCTTACATTTTCAAACGAATTTTTGTTGTTTAGCTGACGGTGCCCTAATCCTATAGAGTGATTATACACAGACATCAATGATAGCATCTTGTGGAATCGGCATTGTTTCATGTGTGGACAGTACACAGTACAAGTTACAAGGCTTAAATAGTGAAGTGGCTAGGGAATAGATTCGTCTTTTTTCCCATCATGTACCAACTTTATATATTCCGTATTTAAGAAGTGAAACATACCATTATAGCAATAACTCGCTCGCCTTGACAATTTTCGAGTCGCATGTTCAACTGGCTTTTTTACTCGATTTTAAGGCTCTTTTTCAACGATTTCCGAACGTTTGCTTAGACGAAAATATCACCTCTCCGCGGTCAGTGCCCTCATTTTGCGGCAACGCATGAAAATCCAGATAAATCATATCGACAAACACAGGCCCTCCAGGTTAGCGAGCAAACGTCTAAAATCACTGAACCACGCAATTGTCCTCAACACACAATGTTGTGGTTTCCGTGTTAGTGGCGCGCATGACAGAGAGTCTGACAAGGTCCCGCGTACACTGGCGTGCAAGCAACAGAACACTTGGTGGATGGAAGAGTAGGCCGTAGAGTCGCTGTTCTGGCAAAGTTTTCCTCAATGCACACTGCCAGAAAAGAATTACTTGTATTTGTTTGTTCTGTTGATTTCTTTCAGCCCAACTCAACTCCATAAAGAAGACGAGTTTATCCAGAATCCTATGTGACAACACGGACATCCAGACCATTCAGTTTAATCCCTTCTGGCAACCTGATCAAAGGTCGGTGCAAGACAAACAATAATATGGAACTCAATAATTTACAATTAGCCTATCCGATCTTTCGCCATCAATACGAACATTTAGAATTAGCCTATGCTATGGTCTCTCTACTTCAAAACGAACATTCAGCCTATATTTTGGTCTCTCTTCTTCAATATATACGAGGGGGTTGAATGGTCGAATGGTTAGCGCGTGCGCGCTGTATCACAAGGTCTGGCATTGAGTAAACTGGCGTGGTTTCGATTCCTCGGCTGAACGTAACAATGAGTAGGGTCACCTGTCCAACCTGGTGGGTTTTCTCCGGGTTCTCCGGTTTCCTTCCACTGCTAAAGACCCCTAAGCGCAAGCGAATTATTGAAATAAAATTGAACCACATGTTAGTCCCGAAAGTGACCTAGTTTGTGTCGAGTGGACGTTAAACTCTCTCTCTCTCTCCTCTCTCTCTCTCTGTCTGCTGAAAATTGAAATAATGTGACTCTTTTGATATGTTTTAGCCAACCTCTACAACCGTGTGGAACCTTACCAACACCTGACCTGTCACTGTGGAGGGATGAAAACGGCGGGGGAAATGGGGGTAGGAATATACCCGAAGCCAAGTGGTCCAGGTGGGGTCCGTGGTCATCTTGTAACAACGGACAGAAGAGACGAACCAGAACCTGTGAGGGTGAAGGCAGCTGTCAGGGTAAAAACACTCAGACAAGACGATGCAATAATGGAGGTTCTAGTCCGGGTCAAGGTGGATGGGGTGAATGGGGATCTTGGAACCAATGTAACGGTGGTAAACAATGGAGATGGCGACAGTGTGTTGGAGTCTCGTCTTACTGTGCTGGACCGAGCGCCGCCTCGCAACCATGTGGCGGAAGTAAATATATTCCTAGATATTGTCTTGTAGAATTCTTCAGACAATCAAGTATCTGTGCTGGTTATTTTTAGAAATGTTGACACCGGTTTGAAAAAATAAAACAATATTTGGGTTAACTTCGTGTCAGATGTTTTTATTTGAAGGGAGTCAGATGCTCGCTTATTAACCAGTAAAACCCTGGTCATGTCTCAATATTAAGGTCACCTGCAGATTTTGTTAAGGTTGCGAGATGGAAATAGGCTGAGGACACGTGATTATTGGCGAGATTGTGGGTTAGGGTAAGGCTAGCCCTGTTTACATCTCGTGACCTTCACCAAATCTACACTTGGCCTTAATGTTTAGCATTAACCGCAAGACTCTGGTTCGATCCGGATGTTGAGAAAATTCCCCGGCATCATTCACCGTGGTTTCATCTTGTTAGTGGGGTCCTGGCTTTAATAAATGTCTAGTCGTTCGAATGTAACGAAAACCAGAGGTACATGGCACATGTTAGCGTGTACGTAAATGGATCCACTGACAGTAGGAATTTGACGAAATCGCCGCTGTCCGAGCTAAGTGTTCCTTATAGCACACTGTATGACGTATTCCCCTCCTCGTTAGTCAGGTTGGACCAGACAAGTAGGACGTTAAACCATATTTACTTACATTTTGTTTATTTGAACTAAACTGCGATCAACATGTTCCCCTGAGTACTCTTTCTGTACTACCGAGACAATTACATTTCCGACTTCAATCTCACCCAAATATGTACATTACTCTCGACACTCAATCTCACCCAAACATGTACATTACTCTCGACACCCAATGACTCTATCGATACAATTAGTACAATATAATGTAGGTCAATGATTTTGTGAGTAGTGAATTCTTCTACACAATGGGAAGTGGGGTGGATGGTCTAATGGTTTAATGCGTGTGCGTGAAATAGTATGGTCTGTCATTGAGTCAAGTGGCGTAGTTTCGATTCCCCGCTTGTATGTGACAAGGATGTAGCATGTCCATCTTCGTGGGGTTTTTCCGGGTTTTTCGGTTTCCTCCCACTGCTAAAGAACGCATACGCACAGGCTAATTAATGAAATAAAGTTGAACCATATTTTAGTCCCGAAATACTACATGGCAATATAATATTTATTCGTGCTAAGAAAAGACATTTATTAATTATTACTACACAGCAATATGATATTGATTCATGCTAAGAAAAGACATTTATTAATTATTACTACACAGCAATATGATATTGATTCATGCTAAGAAAGGCATTTATTAATTAATACTACACAGCAATATGATATTTATTCATGCTATAAAAAGAATCATGATATAAGAGCTAAATCAGTCTATTACAGGACTTTATTTTGGTTTCAAATGTTATAAACTATTATTTAGATATTAATTCACATTACAAGCCTATAATCAACTCTCTAGACCATCGGATGGTACAGACAGATTTTAACAGGTCAAAATATGATCGTCTTTAAATATTTTATTTAAAAACGGAGAAACGAGACTGAGTCTCGATTAACAAGTAAAGTTGTTGTGATAATAAACAATCAAGGTCAAAACTCCAAACAGCGCTAACGTTGCTCAGAGTAAATCAATTTGGATGAAATTTTCAATAATATATTAATTTTGAATTATCTATCTTTAAACTATTAAAGCAAGAACGTTAGCGTCGCGGGTTCTAATGTAAAATCTCAGGACATGTCTATTGGACAATAACACCCCTCTAAATTCGAAACAGGAGATGTTTATCGACATTATAACATGCTATTTTTTAGAATTTTAAAAGAACTTATTTTATTGTGTAAACTTCAAAATTCGTCTCACTGCAAATCGGTTTTAGTGACGTCAAAACCAAAGAAATCAATTTTGACGTAATGAAAACGTCGTGACGTAGCGGGGTAACTGGTTGCTCATGTTAGATTTGGCTCGCTTATCGTCTGGTTGCTATAGTAGCCGTAAGAGTATAGACACACCAAAAAAAAAAAAAATTCTCACTTCATTTTTTAAAAAGTACTTTTTGAAACAAAATTTATGTTTTTGTAATAGATTTTTGAATATTTTGTTGTTTGTAGCTGTTACCTGACAAGGGGGTTGGCGTTTCAAGTTCATCTTCGGACATATCTCCAAATATTTCATCTAATGTACCGAGATCAAAATTGAGTGTCTCCATTGTGGTTATCGCCATTAAAGTAGTACGCATAATATTAATGCGCAGTGATTTCGCTAATTTAGAGGAGTGTTATTGTCCAATAGACAGTGTCTAATCGACCAATCAAAACGCAAGATTCACCCTTAAGCATGTTACAATAGCTAATAAAGGACATTTAATAATAACTCCCACGTGACAATATGTTATTTATTCATACTAAGAAAGGACATTTATCAATAACTCTCACGTGACAATATGATATTTACACAGCTCTTATTGACCTTATCCGTTTTGCTTATTCACTAATAAAGTGTCGTATGGGCAAGAGGCTGGCTCACTAGCCTCGTGGTCGGGTGTTCGATCCCTGCATTGGCCGAGAAAGTTCATCCAGATTTTCCGGCGTGGTTCTCGCTTGTCAGTGATGCAGAACGGAGGGCCTGACGAGGACAGCTGTCTAGTCGTTCGGGTGGGACGAAAAGCCGAAATCCCGTGTACACATTGGTGTGCACGTAAAAGATCCCTTGACAGTTGGAATTCGATATAAGAGTCGGCCGTAGTGCCAATGTGTAGCTGGCAAAATAAAGTGTTCGAAATTCCATGACTTTTTGGTCTGGAGCCCTTCCGGATTGTGTAATAGTTTTCGGTCATCGCTCATTAATTGTATCATCAATATTTCGGGAATCGAAAATTCTTTAAATTGACTAAAACATTTAAAATCAGTGTAATTTAAATAAAAAGTGTGTATCGCCACGCTGCTCAAAGAGCGACATGGGTTTCGGGCATATTTGTTTCATCAGTGAAATTTCTGGTGACATGTGAATGCAACGACAACAGCCTGGTTGATTGATTTGTTGATTGGAGTTCATTATAATGTACCACTTTCAGGTTGCTGTATTCACGTCCTGAAATACGTAGCAAGAAAACGCGTTATCTGGCTTGTAATTTTCATCAATTTTGTGGGAGAGACAGGCCCCAACAAATCCCCTGACGGCGTGTTTCACGACTTCTGAACTCGACAGTGACCTTTAATTCAAAGACATCGACATCCATTTAAAAGATTAAAAGACATTGTAAAAGTCAAATCTCACGAGATTATCGCCGGTCTTATCGGAAAAATGCTCACCTTGATGTTGACAAATACGTAAGAAAATATGAACATAACAAATGATTCAACTGAAAGGAGATATCTATGCAACATAGATGATTAATATCTACACTCAAGTTAAACCAACAGTATCTATTCATTTTAAATCTTACGTCTAACTGAATAAACTATATGATTTATTGTCATTAAAACACCAATGGCTGGATAACAGTGTGTAATTAAAGACTATAATTGTAGGTTTGTAGAAATTATCATATTAATAAATTTAAGGTGTCATACGGTTGCACGTGCCTCCAAGGTAGATACAAAGACATAATATAAACTAAGATATCATTACATTCTTTCATTACAATTTTCAATAGGGGGAGGGGTATAATTTATTGTGTAACATTGTGATTATAATCAAAACAATAAATCCCGTTCTATACCACAAACAAGCCATAATTAAAATCCCACCAATTTAGATTTCATTTTGCTGGCCATTTTGAATTTCTACATCAAAAATTCTCGAAATATTTTTTGAGATCAGAGTTGAACCCAACACATATATAAGATATGAAACCAAATTCCGCAATGTTGGATTAAATTTACCGGCCATGTTGAATGTCTGCCATCAAGGATTCATTTTTGAGATCAGTATTGAACCCGGCGACATCGAGAACCGTGTAAATGACGACTAAATTAACATCTGCCGATTTACGATGCTGCCATTTTCGATTTTAGAAATTTATCTTTAAATTGGGACTTCGAAAAACATATAAAAGACATAGCAAAAGTCATATCTTACGAGATTATCGCTGCCCTTTAATTGCATTATATTACAAAATTTGGCAGCCATTTTGAACGAAATGCCCAGCACCATATGAAAAATACATTTTTTTAATTGATATTTGTCAAATTCGGTTTTTCGGCACATTTCGCTTGCATAATCGCTCTGTGTTCGAGGAATTTAAAAAATTATTTATCTTTCCACCACCGAAAAATATACCGATTACGAGATATCGCTCTTCGAAAATTCCTGAAGACCGCCATTTTGAATTATGTTGATTACGTCATTTTGCCTTGGCCGCTTTTTTTATGGGAGTACTAGAGACCTGAACAGTTCCCAAAGAAATGATTTGTGTTTCAATTTGTCCTAGCCCCCTCCCCCCTCTCATATTGTTATCTCTACTCACCTATTAACCCAGTTGGAGCAGAAACGGAAGACGTTAAATCCATTTCATTTCACCGATAAATAAAATCGTCTTTCTCGAATATAACAATCTGTATCTTAAATAAATTATCATTGGGTAGATCCTCTAAATTAAAGATACATGGCCAACTATAACAGGAAAGCGAAGAGCCATAAATGTCCACTTTAGTTAAAGATCTGACAGCACCATAAGTTAAAGATCTGAGATCATCATAAGCATCAACAATTCTGATAACAAACAGTCTGTCTACAGCTCGGCAAGAACAGTAGAGATTACTCCTAAATATTTCCAATCCAACTACCTTACTGTCTGACGTTACGTCTATGTGCCAACGACAACCGTAGCGTTCATAATCTGGACTTCTATGCGTAAGCATACCTGACTTGAGATCATCTGTACTAAAACTAACCTCAAAACCCTCCGTGTTTGAAAATAATTCACAAATACAACAATCGACTGGGTTTGTGGCCAAAGTATACGCATAAACAGCATCTTCCAAGACATGTTGACCTGTATGCTTTTGCATGAAAAACAGCCATAATAACATGCGCAGAGCAGCCTTATAACACATGAAGATCAAATAGATAGGGTAAATCCACGGAAAAGACTTTAAATAAAAATAATACACTAATCTGTAATAGTAATAAATGAATCTACTTGTCGTGTTCCATCTTGTACTGGTATGACATTGTTTTGTGTCCCTGGCTTTACCATTTGAATCTAAATAGATTACCGAACCGTGGGCAAGAGACGAAACTGGGCGACTTACTATTTCGATGCCGTTCAGCTTATACAATTGTAGATTTGGAAGTGTAAAGTTGTCATCAACGTCTTTCAGTTGTGACATTGACGTAATATCGTTTGATATTTTTAACATTTCCTCGATCGATTGATTCTTTAAGACATCAACGGTATGACTTATACTGGCTTCTAAACCACTTATCGCGTTTTCTTTCAGTGTTTCAATTTTGTTCAACTTCGTGACATTGTTTTGATTTATTTCCTCCATTTTATTTTTCACTTCGTCTCTCGAGTTTATTAAATCGAAACATGCCCTTTGTGCATCACTATCAACCATGTCGCAAGACTCTTTTAAGTTTTTACGTTCATTTGATATTTTACAATAAATTGTCTCTAATTCAGATTTCAATTTAGTTAGATTACTTTCCATCTTATCTTTCCTTTGCGTCAATATTTTCCTGGTGTCTTCTGTAAAGTCTTTTAAATCCGGTGTGTTATGATGTTTATGTTTGGCCATCAAGCATTTCATACAAATACTTGTTTGACAGTCCTTGCAATAAAACTCCAATTCAGCAAACTTGTGTTTCTTACAAAATGTTCGTCGCTGTAATTTATCATCTGCGTTATCGTCTAAACTGAAAACAACATGTGACCTACAAACCGCAAGTGAATCGTGGGTTATTTTACAAGACTGACACATATATTGTTCACAATCGCTACATCGAAACTGTGATTGGACTTTTACACACACGTCGCATGTTGGTATATCCGTTTTAACTTTATTCTTCACACACACACCCTCGATGTATATATTAGTAGAAAATTTTTTCACTCCACCTTTTGGAATCTCTATTTCCCTACGGCACAGTGGACACAAAAACTTGTTATTTTTAGCCGACTTTTTAACGTGATCCTGGAGACAATGTAGACAATAAGTATGATGACAATCTATTATTTTAGGTTTTATAAAATTATTTAAACAAATACTACACACATGACGGTTATGTTCAGCCATTTTTATTCCGGTGTATAAGCCTATAAATCAATATGGAACTTATTCGAACACTCTACCAATACTCCAGTTTTCGTCAACAACAATATTCATAAAGTCCCCAAGTTCAAACACAAAACAATAATGTGGAAGGTTGTGTAGATGAAATCTTTCATCATTTTCATCCCCTCGATTGATAGTTGAGACGCCCTACGTGTGCCTAGTTATTACACGTCTGGGTCTCCGTACATGTATGTCATATCAACTTTATCGTCATAATCTAATTAACCATGGTTATCTCAAACAGCTGCTTAGTACCGAGAACACATACTATGAACAAAATTCAACACCGGAGTGAGGATAATTTAGACCTGGTTAAACACAGATTATACACGACAGAGCCTTATCCGTCCGTCTACCTTATGATTACACTGGGCCTCCGTACATGTAGGTTGAATGATTACACTGATTCTCTGTAATATAGTTTTAATGTTATATGATCTGTTTCATAAAATCGTTTTAAAACCTAAATAAACCTTCCTCATCCAAACAGCTCCTTGGTCTCGAGTACACATACTATAAACAAAATTCTACGCCTGCGTGTAGATAATTTAGGTGTGAGTAAACACAGATTACACACTATCCGTCCTTCGTGGAATCTCCCAGGAATGTATCCCATAATAAGGCGTGTCGCTTAAGTATCGTACCGTTAGATCAATATAATAATCAGCTATACGTTGCCACGTTACCAAACTCTTCCATATAAGAATGTAAACAAAAAATACCACCTACCTGCATGCGTATTGATTTTCATGTTACAGGATATGTTGAGGATGACGGGTGATCACTGCACAGTACATGGCACTATAGTTCAGCTCTGAACGTAGGTCTCATTACACCGTTCATGTACGTTGAGGAGCGGGTCCATTGATTCCTTGTCGAAACAATTTAAGTAAATTTTACTTGGCAACGTTTTAATGCCAAACGGTCGCGTGTCAGTACCTGTGAACGCCTGTACAATGTAATGCCCCCGTCATTCCGGATGGCGTCCTTACTGCGCTGCTGCGACCGTACAGCGACTAGAAAATGCACAAGGTCGCCGGCAAACGTAAAATGTCCCAAAAAATTACTTATACCCTCGTCAGACCGGGGTGACGCCTTTACTGGGCTGTTACGGCGACGGAAAATGACACCAGAGCACGTCAAGATCGCAATAAGCGTGGTAAAAGCGTGGTGGAAACGTCAGATATCGCGCTGTGGTCTCCGTGGTCGCAAATGATCGCCGAGTCATGGCGAAATGAAGCGGTGTTAAACACTTAATAAACCCAACATGATTATAAAGTATGGTATGTGTGACACTGGTAGATCGAGTAATATGATTATGAAGTAATGGAGCTTAGAATCTGCCAGTGTTATATTCACATTTCGGTGTTGTAATTCCCAGACAGCCAGACGTGTTGATCAGAACATGGAGGGAGATGATTCTTGCTAATAGGTGCTTTTCAACCAAACAATCAGTAAAGCTCTAACTCAATATTATTCTACAGAGTCTTCATCATAGCCTACAGACACGAATTATTGGTCAATTCCAATCAAAAAATATGTTAATTACCGCGATTTTATGGGCACCTCAATGCCCAATATTTGAAACAAAATTTTAAACCAGTAGGCCTACACTCCGGCATTTATTCTATGCTCTCGATTGAAATTTGTAACGAAGCGCATTGAGTCCAAATGTCTGTGCGTGGGTGAAATATCAAACCGTGCTTCCGATGTATTGAACTAACCAAACGCGAGCCACTGTTGTTCAATTTTCTTATTTCGACGAACAAATCTGATTATATATTAGAGAAATTACACTAAAACGAATTTAAATCAGCTTAGATACATTAATATTACATTAATATTTATTTTAGGTTTCAAAGAATATTAGAACCAGTACATGACGCATGGTCATCAGAGACTTTTGCCAAGCGAAAATTCCTGGTCCGAATCGGTTTTTCGAGTGACGTCATCCATTTGTGTGTAGTTCGTATACGTGACGCGGCATACGGACACGGCAGCACGTATCAAACAGATTTCAGACAGAATAGGTCCGTATGAAATCGTCGTCTTTTTCCTACTTTTAGACGCTGAAATGTTGTTTCATAGCGTTTTTTCTGAAACTATGCGTATCCTAGAACACGAAGTTGTATTTTTATGTGGTTTTAAACATGATAAAGACTGGAATTAAATCACTGAAAAAGAACGCCCCAATGGTGAAAATCAGAACCCATACGAACGCGGCGCGAAAATCTGCTACAGGGTAAAAACACTCAGACAAGACGATGCAATAACGGAGGTTCTAGTCCGGGTCAAAGGGGGGGGGGGGTGAATGGGGATCTTGGAACCTATGCAGGCTAAACAATGGAGATGGAAACTGTAATAGTGCTCATTATATAATCCGCTTCAATGATTATGTGATAGTAAATTCTTCTACTAATTCGCTTGGATATAATGACCAATGGTTACTTTAACCCAGGTGTGGCTACAGGTGGGAATGGGTGGGGGAGGGGGCTATAACAATATGACATTCATTAATAATTAATAACTACTTCATGGCAATATGATATTTATTCATGCTAAGAAAATGTATTTAATAATAATTACTACATGACAATATGATAATTATTCGTGCTAAGAAAGGACATTTCTACATAACAATATGATAATTATTTATGCTAAAAAAAGACATTTATTAACTATTACTATATGGCAATACGATATTTTTTCATGCTAAGAAAGGACGCTAAAATAGGGTATTACAGGTCTTTATTTTGGCTCTAAATGTTATATAACTTATTATTTAGACATTTACTCACATGACAGGCCTATAATCAACTCACTAGACCATCGGATGGCGCAGATGTCTCGATTAACAAGTAACGTTGCTGCGATAATAAACAGTCAATGTCAAAACTTCCAACAGCAATTTGAAACATCGCCCAGAATAAAATAATTTGAATGAAATTTTCAATATATTAATTTTGAATTATTTATTTTGGAACTATTACAGCAAGAACTGACAGTTTTTTAGTTAAATATTACATAATGCATCTTTAAGCAATTACTCGTTTACAGTATCTTTTTTATTTATGCTAAGAAAGGGCAATTAATAATAACGGCCACGTGACAATATGCTATTGATACATGCTAATAAAGGACATTTATCAATAACAACTACGTGACAATATTCTATTTCTACACGCCAACAAAGGACATTTAATAATACCTTCCACGTGACAATATACTATTTACACATGTTAATAATACTATATTTAAACATGCTAACAAAGGACATTTACTCATTTACAATATGCTTTTTATTTATGCTTAGAAAGGGCAATTAATAATAACTGCTACATGACAATATTATATGCATGCTAAGAATGTAGATTTATTACTAAATGACAATAATACATTTATACATGCTAAGAAAGGCCATTTAATAATAGCTCCCACGTGACAATATGCTATTTATACATGCTAATAAATAATAACGCCCACGTGAAAATATGCTATTTATACATGCTAATAAAGGCCATTTAATAATAACTTAGACATACGGTCTACTGTTTTTAAAAAAATATATTTTATTCGAGAAAGGGCTAGACCCATTTGGAAGCCCTCACGCTACAGATATATGTACAAAATATAATAATATACACATAATTACATATAAACAGTCTTGATTCGTTCCATTTCACATAAATATAGGTCATCTATAACTTACGTAAATACAGGGCATTTATAACTTAGATAAATATAGAGCATCTATAACTTACATGAATATAGGGCATCTATAACTTACGTAAATATAGGGCATCTATAACTTACATGAATATAGGGCATCTTTAACTTACGTAAATATAGGGCATCTAAAACTTACATGAATATAGGGCATCTATAACTTACATGAATATAGGGCATCTATGACTTACGTAAATATAGGGCATCTATAACTTACATGAATATAGGGCATCTATAACTTACATAACTATAGGGCATCTATAACTTACATGAATATAGGGCATTTATAACTTACATGTATATAGGGCATCTATAACTCACATAAATATAGGGCATCTATAACTTACAGGAATATAGGGCATCTAGGTCCCGTGTGTACATATTGTATAGTCGTTTAGATGGGACGAAAAACTGAGGTTCCGTGTACACATTGGCGTGCACGTGAAAGATCCCTTGCCAGTTGGAATTCGATATAAGAGTAGGCCGTTGTGCCGCTGTCCGGGCAAAATGTCCCTCATAGCACGATGTATGCCATATACTCGTCTTCATTAGCCCAGTCGAAGCAGAACAGTAGAATGTTAAACCCCATTTCATTTCACCGATAAATAAAACCATCTTTCTAAAATAAAACCATCTGTATTTTAACTACATCATCAATGATTAGTTCATTTAATTTAATGGCACATGGCCAACTATAACATGAACGCGAAGACGTATAAATGTCGATTTTTGTTAAAGATATGACAGTACCATGATCATTAAGAATCCGGACACCAAAGAGAATATATCTGTAAATCAACTGTTTTACTTTTAATAAAGATTAAAATGGGGTATACGCAATACCTCGGTCTTTTTGAGACTGATACATGGCATTTGTAATTTCAATGGTTGCGCAATTTAAGGGGGGGGGATTTCGATTGGGCAGCGGCAAATCCGTCTAGTTGTAATCGCGTGCCATCTGCCAAGGATTCATTTATGAGCACCTTTATCATCATAAATGACATACTTGTTTTTCAGAAAAGTAGGACGTTAAACCCCATTTCATTTCACCGATAAATAAATTCGTCTTTCTCGAATATAACAATTTGTATCTTAAATTTCTCATTGCATAGGTTCTTTAATTTAATGGCACGTGGCCAATTATAACATGAACTCGAATGGCCATACCTGTCTATTTTAGTTAAAGACATGTGAAAACCATAAGCATCAACAATCCTGATACCAAAAAGTGTGTCGCCACAACAGTCGTGATTATCTCTACATATCTGCAAATCAACTACCTTACTGTCTGACGATAGGACTATGTACCAACGACAACCGTAGCGTATATAATCGGGACTTCTACACGTACACATACCTGACTGAAGATCATCTTTACTAAAATTAACCTCAAAGCCCTCTGTGTTTGAAAAAATATTACAAATACAATAATTGAATTGCTGTGCTACCGGTACCCAATTATACGCCACAGTAGCATCTTCAAAGAAAGTTGTTTTTTTATGTTTATATTCTGGCTGTCCAAGCCAACGCATGAAACGCACCCATACAAAAATACCAAAGAGAACCTTAAAACACATGATGATCAAATAGATAGGGTAAATCCACGGAAAAGACATTAAATAATAACAATACATTAATCTGTAATAGTAATATATGAATCTACACATTGTTTCCCATCTTGTTTTTGTATAACATTGTTTTTGGTCCCTGGCTTTACCATTTGAATCAAAATAGATTACAGTACCATGGGCAAGAGAAGAAACTGGGCGAGTTACTGTTTCGATGGCGTTCAGCCTATACAATTGCAGATCTGGAAGTGTAAAGTTTTCATCAGTTTCTTTCACTTGTGGTATTGACTTGATATCGCGTGATAATTTTAACATTTCTTCAATGGATTGAGTCTTCAAGACACCCTCGGTATAACTTATACTGGCTTCTAAATCACGTATCGCGTTTACTTTCGGGATTTTAATATCTTCCAGCTTCAGTTCATTGGTACAATATACGGCCTCCATTTTATTCTTCACCTGGTTTCCCGAATCCACCAACGTTGCATATACCGCTTGTACATGCCTATCAACGATTTCACAAGAATGGTTTAAATGTTTGCGTTCATTTGATATTTTACATTGAATTGTCTCTAATTCAGATTTCAATTTAGTTAGATTACCTTCCATCTTATCTTTCCTGGGAGCCAATATTTTTCTGGTTTCTTCGATAAAGTCTTTTAAATCCGGTGTGTTGTGGTCTTTATGTTTGGACATCAAACATTTCATACAAATACTTGTTTTACAATCTCTGCAATAAAACTCTAATTCTGTCGATATGTGTTTCTTACAAAATGTTCGTCGCTGTAATTTATCATCTGCGTTATCGTTTAAACTGAAAAAAACATGTGACCTACAACCCGCAAGTGAATCGTGGGTTATTTTACACGATTGACACATATATTGTTCACAATCGCTACATCGAAACTGTGATTGGACCTTTACACATATGTCGCATGCTGGTATATCCGTTTTGATTTGCTTCTTCACACACACACCCTCGATATAAATATTAGTAGAAAAGTTGTTCACTCCACCTTCTGGTATTTCTATCTCCATACGGCACAGTGGACATAAAAACTTGTTATTTTTAGCCGACTTTTTAACGTAATCCTGGAGACAATGTAGACAATAAGTATGATGACAGTCTATTATTTTAGGTTTTACAAAATTATTTAAACAAATACTACACACATGACGGTTATGTTCAGCCATTTTTATTCCTGTGATCTGTAGTCAGTGTATAGGCCTTTAAGTCAATATTGAACACTCCCCGTATACTCCAGTTATCATAAATGACAATGTTCATAAACACCCAAGTTCAAACACAAAACAATGACAGATGATGTAGAAGGTTGTGTAGATGAAATATTTTTACCACTTTCTTCCCCACGATTGATAGTCGAGATGCCCTACCTGTAACCTACCTAGTTGATGCACGTCTGGGCCTCCGTAGTAATGTATGTTGAATAATGTCATATTAGTATCTCTTTCATAAGTCGCGTCATAACCTAAATACAGCAGCAATATCCCAAACAACTCCTTGGCCGAGACACTTATAGTCTATAGAATTGACAAAAATTAACACCCGATTGTAAACACAAATTGGGTAAACACAAATACAGATCCTTATCTCTCTCTGGAACGTATCCCTTAAGGAGTGACCCTCAAAAAGCGTACAGGTAGATCACAAAAAGAAAATGATCGGCTCTACATTGCCACGCCGATATACCGCCAATGGCCACGCTCTTCGATATAATAATATTATGTAACTAAAACCAACGCATAACCACGTTGCCACGGTAAATGATAGATCCCACACAGCAAGGCCGCGTGTCAGTCAATTTGATTGACAGTTCGATGTATGGTTTTGACTTGACGTATAGTTGTGGCTAAAATGAGACGTTGGATAGTCGAGACGCCCTACGTGTACCCATCTTCAAAGGAAGACTCGATCTCGCTTTAACGCCGTACATATTATCAAGGCCTTTACGTCATACCCTGCATATTTCGGCACTAATTTCCATTGGGTACTCACCTTGCTCGATCATCGCGAATACCAAGTCCGCGCATTCCAGCTAAAATGTCTACCTGTGATAATCGAGTTGCAAAGTCCAAGGTTCGTTCAATGTCAAGGCTTCCGTGGAGGTCGCTATGTCACAACCTCTGATTGGACGCTACTGTTCGCGTGTCTGTAGATAACGTAGCTATAAGTTCGGGAATTGTGAAGTAATCTAGCAACGTCCAGATGTTGTAAAACTCGCAGTCGTTGCTTCAGGTACATGGGGTGTACCTAGTTATTACATGCCTGGGTCTTCGTACATGTAGGTTGAATGATGTTATATTACCTTTTTCATAAATCGCTTCCTAACCTAAATAAACCTGCTTTGTCCCAAAGAACTCACTAGTACACATACTATAAACAAAATTCTGCGCTGGAGGGTAGATAATTGAGTCCTGGTTAAACACAGATAACATGTGGATCCGTGTCCGTACTTCTGAGATCCTGTCTGAACTGTATCCTATTAGGCGTTTCGCTCAAGTATCGTACCGGTAAAGGTTAAAAGCCAAACCGATTAGATAGCGGATTACGTCATATGTCACGAGATTTATATAGTTAAGGCGCGTGATGTTGACGAGATTGTGTGTTAGGGTTAGTCCGTGCTAATACATCTTTAAAATGCGATAAGTATTATCTATCTGGTATTTTAAACCATGGACCTTGTATTTTAAGGTCCGTGTTTAAACTAATTAAACTGATTATCTGTACGACTATAAATTGCAATTCTGTGAAAAAATGTACATTAAATAGATACTGAGAATGTGCCCTTATTCTGTCATGGGCGATGTGACGCAACCCTTGGGTTATTTGTCACTAGTTCTCACAGTGTTACCTTAGTAATAAAAAGAGGTTGTTAACACATAATGTCTTTAATGTCTCAAGGGGTTATAATGATTATGCCTCTTGAGTTTCTGGGTTTATATCCTAATTTTGGTTACCATAGATTTGATGAACGTGCCTTCTAAAGTATTTAATCCGTTTCTAATGGAGACGATTATAACCTAGACCAAGCCATGCCTTCAACAGAAGTTTAACTGGACATGATGGATTATCAATTTGAAAGCTTCAATTTAATTAATTAATTGTTTAAGCGCCATAGAGCCAGCATCAAGCAGTCGCCTTACTCTGCCCTTTTGGGTATTGATGCCAAGGTAGAGCGGAAATCAACCCCACTACCCGACGACATCCTTCACGCGCTACAATCAGAAGATGGTCTACTGAATGTTGTTAACCATCCCAACAGGACTGAGTCATCTGGTATGCCCATCAATGCCGTTTACCATCCAAACAACCCCGAGTCATCTGACATGGTCATAAATGGCGTTGACCATCCATCTGGTATTCCCTCCAATGCCGTTGACCATTCCAACTGCAGTCCCGAGTCATCTGAGATCTCCACCAATCTTGTTGACCATTCTCACCGTCCAGGGGCGGATTGGGCCCGGGCTCCCGTGTCGGAGTGGCCCCTTTTACTGACCGTGGAGCCCGAATGGGGGGTCCGGGGGTTCTCCCCCATGAAAATTTTGAAAAATGAACCCCAAATATGCGATTTGGTGGCATATTTGCTTATAATCTCTGCCCAGAAAGTGTATTATATCAGCCCATTCCAGACTCCAGTGATGGCGTGGCGGCCCGTTAAAGCCACCGGCTACATACAACATGATCATCATCGCTCCATGGCTGGTCCAATACCCCCCCCCCCCCATAATGTTCAGCAGAAAAGGGTTTTTTAGACGGATTGGACAAAATTATTTTGTTCATTTTTTTGTCCGACCGGCCCTTCAGGCGATCGCCCGATGGCCCAATCCGCCCCTGTCACCGTCCTGTCGGTGTTGCACGTTGTAAATATTCTAGAAACTATTTTGATCTTTGTCCGCAAAAGCGTCTTCTTATGCCTGACATTAATACAGCCATCAACCTGTCTCTTCCTTTTGCAGTTGGTATGGAATCGCAGAGTGGTGGTCAGGGATTTGTAAAGTGCAACTGTTAAGGAACCTCTAAATGCAAGACCAAGAGATGCAAGTGTTTCAAGAACAATCTCAAGTACAACAGTCGGTACAATTCCAGCTTGAACTGTTGCAATAAGTAACTTTATACCCTTTACATTACCTGTATATAAGATGGAACTTGTTTACGAGGAATCAAAATATCTTGCGTAAATACCTTATGTAAATGTGGTTATTAGAATGTAAATATTACAAAGATTTAAGAGTAAACTTTTTACTGAAACAATATATTTGTCAATATCCTGGTCGTTTTAAATTTGGCCAGTTATGTGCTGATTATGACGTTAACACTCCTCCCGTCAAAAGTCAAACCTAGTAACTCACTTTTTTTTATTATCAATATTAAGTTAGGACCAAATTTGTAGTTACTAGGGTACGTGCTTCCTGTTGTTGTACTAGATATTCCAATCTTTTGATTTTGTAAGCAGATACACCCATGACACAACCTAGCAACTTCCGTCATTTGCCAAGTATGCCACAGAAAAAAAGAGAGAGAAATGGGGTTTAACTTCCACTCGACACAAACTAGGTCATTTCGGGACTAACATATGGTTTAATTTTCAATAATTCGCTTGCGCGTAGGGGTCTTTAGCAGTGGGAGGAAACCGGAGGACCCGGAGAAAACCCACGAGGTTGGACAGGCGACCCTACTCCTTGTCACGTACAACCGGGGATTATGCCACAGAAAAACCTAGTAACTTAATAGTCAAATCAATGCATAAGCTGGGGTTTAATATGCATTCATTCCGTTTTCCTTTCTTTTCTTTTCTCAAAATAAGTAAAACGTGAGTTACTAGGTGTTGCCTTTTGACGGGAGACTCTTTCATCGTTATCGACATATCTCCAAAGGCAGTTTTATTAACTAATTTAATGTTACATGCATTATATCATTATCATTATCATTATTTAATAAGATATCATTGTTTGATAAGATAGGAGTATTATTGTAAATAGAACAATTGTAAATAATGCTTATATATCATATAAATATAATAATTGCATAAGCTACATTCAATTTTTAATGTCTGCAATTTTGTAAATTGTTTCGGCTTAGACGTATATTGAATAATTTGTACCTATCTATGGGTATGAACTTATTACTGAATAAAGCATTACTATTATTATTATGGAATGGAATAAACTTATGTTTTACTAATAAATCCTGCGTATGTCATGTTCTTTTTAACACATTAGGCATTTTGCCAAATGCCTGACCACATTTGGCATTTGACCAACTGGTTGATTTGACAGATTGACTGTACCATATATACCGGTAATTATTTAATTCAAAATGGACATAATTATTAATAACAACTATTTTATTTAACGGGTTATTCTGTTACTTATTTAAACCGTGTTTTCATATTGGGTTAATTTCTTCATCTGAATGTCCAGGCAAACTTTCCCCCATAGCACACATTATGACGTACACCTGCCTTCATTAGCCCAGGTGGAGCAGAACAGTAGGACGTTAAATCCTATTTCATTTATATACGTCATGCAGTGTGCTATGAGAGAAATTGTGCCCGGACAGAGGCGCTATGGTCCACTCTTATATCAAATTGCAACTGCAGAGGGATCTTTTACGTGCACGCCAATGTTTTCACAATGTCCTTTGCCAGGCCCTCGGCCCTACACCAATGACAAGGAGGAACTCAGTCGATAAATCCTGACCAGGGACCGAACATAAGACACCGTAGCTCCCATAATTCTCTATAGGAAATTGTAATCAAGAAAAAATATGTACGGTTAATTTTACAAAGGAGACAATTGTACTTGGCTAAATATGAATCCATAATAAAATAATCAAAGGACGAAAAATCTTGAAAATGTAATGAATGAATGAAAATGGAATGTGGTTTAATGTCCTACTGGGCTAAGAAAGATGGGTACGGCGCCATGCAGTATGCTATGAGGGGAATTTTTGCCCGGAGAGTGGCTCTTATTTCGAATTCCATGCACGCCAATGAGTACATGAGACCTCAGTTTTATGTCCCATCCGAATGACTATACATAGTCCCTTGCCAGGCATTGACAAGGGTGAACCACCCCGGAAAATCCTGATGAACTGTCTCGGTCAACACCTCGAAGATAAATACTATTAATAATAATTTTATTTATTCGGTATGCAAATTATATGATCTATAAATACAAATAACATTTGAACATCAGGATCAGGTTTCAAGCCGTTATACAGAATTTAGTATAGATGGATAATTTTAACATAGGCCTAATAAATTATATAACAAATAAATTAAATATTATCTGTCCATTGAAGGTCTTTCTTTATGTCTTAAAGGGCTAATCCCGATAATTTTTTGGAGAATAAAACAGTTTAATTTTGTTTTAAAATCCCTTAAAATCCTCTACCTAAGGGCCGAGAAACTAACTCAATGTTTGTGATATGTTTTCAAATAACTGAAACTGGTCAGTCTTCATCTGGAAATGGACCCCGATGTCCCAAGATGTATTATGCGGTGTCTAGATAAAACCAGACATTTTTGTATAAAAATAATGTGTAGGTGAAATTTACCTTTCATTATCAAGTACAGCATTTGGGTCATTCACTGTATAGACCTCTCAATGAACGGAAATCGATTATCAGGTCTCCCAACGAAAAAAATGACTCGAAATCTTAAAAAGGTTACGTGTCCGGATAAGCAGTTTTGACGGTCACGTCCAAACGACTCAATATTTTGAGCTGAAATTTTGAGATACCGTCAATACACCATTCCTCTATATCTTGGCGTTAAAATTTCATACATACTCAGACTTTTATTTTTGAGACTGTTCAAATAAGGGATAGTCCCTTTAACAATTGACAGTTAATAGTTTAATTTTAAAAAGATAAAATGAATAATCAAGACTTTGTTTATTATGTTAACAACAGTAACAATGACAGTCAAGTTTAAATTTCAACAACGATAACTCAGCTATGGGTGAAGTAATTTGAATTAAATTTTCAATATACTCCCTTTCCATTATCCACTTTTAACTATTATAGCGAGAACTGTCAGCTCTTTATCCACATCTTACATAATTCCCGTTAAATTCAATTGTCTTACTTTCATTTCTATTCAATATTATAATATTCTCACTAATGACAATAGCAAATGATATAGGTTTAACCTCCTACTGTCCTGCTCCTAATGGGCTAATAAAGACGGGCATACACCATACAGTGTGCTATGAGGGAAAATTTGCCCGGACAGCGGCACTACGACCTACTCTTATATTAAATTCCAACTGCCAAGGGATCTTTTAGTTTTACATGCACACCAATGTGTACACAGGACCTTGGTTTTTCATACCATCTGAACGACTAAACAGCTGTCCTTGTCAGGCCCTCCTTCCTGCACCACTGACAAGGGGAAACCACGACGGAAAATCCTGATAAATTTTCTTGACTTAAAGCATTTGAGGCAAAATAATCATAAGTCAGAATGGTCCACAGAGGCTTACCATTCAGAAAATGTGATCACCATGCATTTCATATTTTCAAACGATTTACACATAGTATGAGTTGACTGATTGACTTAAAATGTAGTTTAGTCTTGAAAAGCCGGGGGTTGGATGGTCTAATGGTTAGCACGTTTGCGCTGTATCATAAGGCCTGTCATTGAGTCACCTGGCATGGTTTTGAATCCCTGGTTGTACGTAACAAGGAGTAGTGTCGCTTGTCCAACCTCGTGGGTTTTCTCCGGGTCCTCCGGTTTCCTCCCACTGCTAAAGACCCCTACACGCAAGCGAATTATTGAAATAAAAATGAACCATATGTTAGTCCCGAAATGACCTAGTTTGTGTCGAGTGGACGTTAAACCTTATTTCTCTCTCTCTTAGTCTTGAACGGAAATATCTTTAAGCTTCTTGAATACTATAAACCCTCAAGAAATCTGCGATTCTCTACACTACCCTTATGATTTAACATCATATGATAACCTGTCATTCTATTTACAAGACATCTGTGATCCTCTACTGACATATCATAACTTATACAACACCCTTATAATTTATCATCATATGGTAACCTGTCATTCTATTTACTAGACATCTGTGATCCTCTACTGACATATCATAACTTATACACCACCCTTATAATTTATCATCATATGGTAACCTTCAGGTTTGCAATTTCCATTCTCAGAGACTGTGATATTAACTCCAACATGGCTACGCAGTGATCTATATGCTGCCCTAAACTGAACGGAGGAAGGATTATTGTTCAAGCAGCCATCACACCGACCTACACCAGCAAACATAATCTCCAAATAACGATTTTATTGAGTCATATTTGCACGAAACTAACTTTTATAGCTATTTAACATTTCACAAGCCTTTTCATTAAGTTGTTTGGATTCTTTCAAATCCTCTAGAATTAACTGAATTGTATAACGTGCTCGTTTTTCTCTTTTTTTTGAGTTATAAAGATCTTTCTTAGTAGTCTGGAGCTCTTGTAATATTTCATCATATTTCTGTTTTAATGTAGCTGGCTCACAAAAATATGTATGGTCGGTAGCTATAACATCTGTTGATTGATTGGATGTGCTGGCCGCAACTTTACCTGATTTTAGTGGTTTCGCTGATGTACGATGGTCGGTAGCTATAGAATCTGTTGATGACAGAAGAGATGTGCTGGCCGCAACTTTACCTGATTTTAGTGGTTTCGCTGATGTACAGAGGTTGGTAGCTATAACATCTGTTGATGACTGATTGGATGTGCTGGCCGCAACTTTACCTGATTTTAGTGGTTTCGCTGATGTACGATGGTCGGTAGCTATAGAATCTGTTGATGACAGAAGAGATGTGCTGGCCGCAACTTTACCTGATTTTAGTGGTTTCACTGATGTACAGAGGTTGGTAGCTATAGAATCTGTTGATGACAGAAGAGATGTGCTGGCCTCTACCTGGTTTACACCTGCTTTTAGAGATGTCTCTGATGTACGGTGGGTAATCTGAAAAACAGATAAAATATACCTTCTTAAGAAGCTCATTATCAGAGAGAGAGAGAGAGAGAGAGAGAGAGGGTTTAAGGTCCACTCAACACAAACTAGATCATTTCAGGACTAACAGATGGTTCAATTTTATTCCAATAATTTGCTTATGTGTAGGGGTCTTTAGCAGTGGGAGGAAACTAGAGAAATCCTTTTGAGGTTGGACAGACGACTCTACTACCTAAAAGTCAAGAACAACTGGGGAATCAAAACCACGCCAGTTGACTTGATGACAGACTTTATGATAAAACGTGCACACGCTAACCATTCAGCCATCCAACCCCCAAAATGTTTTAAAAGCTATGTTCTGGTACAAATGTAGCTTGTAGGGTAAGCAGCTTTGCATATTAATGTTGAGATATTGGATTTTACTTACCGGTACTTTAACTTGAGTTTTCCAACTAAAAATAGATGGTACTACACCCTTTTTTATGAGTCTCATAGTGCCATGCTTTGACATATAAAAGTCATCTGCCTTAAAATGGCTGGAGCACAAGAAATTAAATTTTGATGGCTTCCAAAGTTTATTTGTTGACAGATCTAATCTATTAACTGCTTTACACCATTTCAGACACATTGTTTGGTCCAATGGAAATCTATTTAAAAAAAAATAAAATAAAAAATAATGTGGATCATATCACAACATAATAATAATATGACATACATGTACCAAATACATGTGAGAGAGAGAGAGAGAAATGAGTTTTAACGTTCACTCGACACGAACTAGGTCATTTTATTTCAATAATTTGCTTGCGCGTAGGGGTCTTAAGCAGTGGGCGGAAACTGGAGGACCCGGAGAAAACCCATGAGGTTGGACAGGCGACCCTACTCCTTGTCACATACAACCGGGGATTCAAAACCACGCCAGTTGACTCAATGACAGACTTTATGATACAGCATGCACGTGGGGGATCACGTGGCTAAGTGGATAAGACGCTGGCTCGCTAGCCTGGAGGTCGGGTGTTCGATCCCTGCATTGGCTGAGAAAGTTCATTCAGATTTTCCGGCGTGGTTTCCCCCTTGTCAGTGATGCAGGATGGAGGGCCTGACAAGGAAAGCTGTCTAGTCATTCGGATGGGACGAAAAACCGAGGTACACATTGGCGTGCACGTAAAAGATCCCTTGACAGTTGGAATTCGATATAAGAGTAGGCCGTAGCGCCGCTGTCCGGGCAAAATTTCCCTCATAGCACACTGTATGGCGTATGCCCGTCTTCATCAGCCCAGGTTAGGAGCAGAACAGTAGGACGTTAAACCCAATTTCATTTCATTTCATTACAGCGCGCACGTGCTAACCATTCAGCCATTCCCCCCCCCCCCCAATACATGTAGGCCTACTATATTTCAGTTTTACTGATGTAATAATAATCAGATGTGGTACACTATTTTGACAGGAAATTTTAAGCAGGCAAACAAATGGAAAACCGAAAACCGTGATTTGGGCCCTTATTCACGAAAACTTAAACTAAGATACAATCGAAATTTTAAGAAATACTGCAATTCGATTGGCTGACCAGTAAAATCAATTTGCATATATCCAATGAAGTTGCAGTATTTCTTAAAATTTCGGTTGTAACTTAGTTTAAGTTTTCGTGAATAAGGGCCCTGACGCCAAAATATCTTAAGAAGGAAATTTTTTCATCACATAAACTAAACTATTTATTTATATTTTTCAAAACCCCAAATCATGTTTAACTGATTTCAAACAGAACTTGTCGTGCACGTGCAGACTTGGGAGCGAACTCATCAATAGCCTATAAAAAAAAAAAACAGTATGTGACAAGCCATTTTTTGATGCTTAAAATTGCCAGACCAAACGGATAATGGAATATTTTGGGTAGGGCCTAGATTTCTCCCAGGCTTACCTAAATTTCGTTTCATCTTACATGGCCGAGTTCATAAATTTGTACGTTACCCTTTTAATAAGTCCGCCAAGTCGGTTAGAAGACGGGAGACGTATTTTTTAACAGCGTGTTGTGTCGCTCATACTGGTTCTAGCGAGGTAAGCAAGGTCTTATATTCTCACTAAGGTGTTCATTTATATTGTTCAGGCGTTCACAGGGACTGACACGCGACCGTTTAGCAGCAAAAAGTTGCCCAGTAAGATTGACTGGGGCCGATTTTAGTTTCGACAAGGATTCAATAGAAGAGTCCCTGAACGTACAGGGTGAGTGTAATGAGACCTACGTTCAGAGCTGAACTAGGCCTAGATATGCCATTATGAGTTAAAATATGATTATAAGGATATTATTGTTATGGTGTTTTTGTTTGTTTGACTATTGGGATTTATTGTTATGCTTTTTATGACCAAGATAATTGAACAAGCAGGAGATGACAACATATATATAATAAAATATATAAATAAAATAGACGTCATTGATTTGTCCTGCTGCATTGCCGGACTTGTTTAGTTTGGACTTTCCACAAAAGACAAGATCATTGCTTTTTGCCTTTGTTTTATTATTTTTTTCGAACTGGATATTTAACCGTATATACGGCAAAGTATCTACTTCCGCTATTTTACCGTACATCGTTTCGGCGCAGAAGCACGATTTTACGGGAAAAACATAAACCACTGACAGTCTTAGTACTTAAATTAAAACCAAAATCCGCAGAAATCCGCCCTCGACCAAAATAGAATAATATTCTAAATGCTTTTCAACAAATCTACATTTATTATCTTATTTTCTTTTAAAAATAATTCTCCAGTTTCTACCATAGAAATTCAAGTATGGCTATTTAGTTCCTTTATAAGAAACGGAAAATGAAATAATGTTAGACAAAGAATGAATAGAACTGTTGGGTTAGGGTTCGGTTAGGGTTAAGATTTGGGTTATGGGTAAATGTCAGACGCCAAAGCGAAAACTGCTAAGTCCAGGTATCAGAGAACTGCGCATGTTAAACGGAAGCGTACGGCAAAATAGTAAATAAAGTTGTTGACATTAATAGTTTAATACATATAGACAATACAAGTTGACTCCCTAAGTAAATAATTAGTGGTCTGTGTCCAGGTGGCGCTGTAGTATGATAATAGAGTTGTAAACAATGATGGCTGACTAAATAGTCACTGAATTATATTTTAATTAATAAATAACCTGTTTGAACATTAATAATGTCTTTAATAAGACCCCAAACAACTTACATGGTGTCAGAAGTTTAAAGTGACAGCAAGTATGCAGAATCTACCACCTCCCAAGTCATTAGATTTGACAAATAGTAGAAATAAGAAGGAAGCATGGACTTCGTTCAAGAAACAATTTGAGTTGTACCTGACAGCCTCTGGAGCGAGGAATCAACCAAATGATGTTAAAAGGTCTGGATTGCTGCATCTTGTTGGTGAAGATGGAAGGAAAATAGCCTCCACATTCCAAATAAAAGAAGAGGGTGAAAATGAAACCTCAATAGAAGATTTAATCAGAATGTTTGATGATTATTTTATTGGTGCCAGAAATATTATTTATGAACGGCATATTTTAAGAAATATAAAGCAAGAGAAAAGGGATTTTGATGAATTTTAAAACTGGTGCTTCTGTCAACATTCTCTTTAGCTGTTGAAATTTTAGTTCATGGTTTGCTGTCCATACAAACACATTTTTCTCTTTAATTAAGTCTCTCAATATTGCAGTTTCTTGAGAAAGATTGGGTAGGAAATTAGCTAGGTATGTCAACATCCCTAGAAATCTATGTAGTTCTTCCTTAGAAGATGGGCTTTTCATATTTACAATGGATGAAATTCTATCCGGATCAATTTTCTGACCATCTCCAGTGATAATTACACCAAGATATTTTACCTCAGTTTTATTCAGTTCACATTTATTTTTATTCAGTTTTAAGTTCATTTCACGACATTTGTCTAGTGTAGCTTTAAGTCTTTCATCATGAATTTTCTGATTTTCAGCATGTATCATTATGTCATCTACATAAGCTTCTACGCCTTCATGATTTTGAAATGTTTGACTCATAACACGTTGAAATACTTGACTAGAAATGTTTAAACCATAAGGAAGTCTTTTGAAACAAAAATTACCAAATGGAGTTGAAAATGTTGTTAATTTTGATGACTCTTCATCAAGCTTTAGCTGCCAAAAACTTTCGGTAGCGTCTAATTTTGTGAATATCTTCGAATTATTCAGCCTAGCAGTCATCTCATCAATGGTTGGCATCTTATATTGGTCTGATATGATGTACTGATTTAAATCTCTGGGATCTAAACAGATACGTAGCTTACCATTAGGCTTCTCTACGACCACCATTGCATTTATCCACTCGGTTGGTTCATTTATTCTCTGAATAATACCATTCTGTTCCATCCTATTCAACTCTTCCTTGACTTGTTCACGAATAGCATAAGCTATTCTTCTGGGAGGATACTGGACTGGTTTAGCATCATCTTTCATATAGATTTTAACTTCAGGCACATTTATACCTTTTATTGTTTTATTAAAAACGTCATTATATTTATTAAATATATCATTGTCTTTGTTATTTAAACTTTCTACTCGTTTTATTAAATTTAAATCTTCACAGGATCTCAGCCCTAAAACTGGAACCGTTTTATCTCGAATAACTATAAAGTTGACCAATTTCTTGTCATTCTTTATTTTAACCATAAGAATAACTTCACCAGCTATATCTAATCTTTGACCATTATAGGTAACTAGTCTTCTTTTGGTTGGATTTAATCTTTTTCTAGATATTTGTCGATAGACATGGTAGGGTAACACATCAGCTTGCGCTCCACTGTCTAATTTAAATTTAACTTTTCTGTCTTGAACACCAACTTTGGCTTCTATGTTCCATTCTAAGGTATCTTTACTATTGGTATTATTTTCTTTCACCATTGATATGTATAAATTATCTTCATCATTTGATTCATCAATAATTTCTTCATTTACCATACCAAGAAATAAATCTTCATCAGAATTGTCTTCAGTAAATTGGTCGACTTTCTTGGTCCTGCACATTTTACTAAAATGACCTAATTTATGACATTTGGTACAAGTTTTACCATATGCTGGACAATCATTATATTTATGATTGTAACCACATCGTTGACAAATTTTGTCAAACTTCTTCTGGTTTGTTGGCTCATATTTATGTTTTGTTTCTGTATGTCTTCTATTTTCATCTTTTCTTGGATGATTATTTGTTTTTCTCCCTTTTTTACTAAAGGCATCAACGGTTTGGTGACATACTGCAGTAGCGCCTTCTTGACCTTTAGATGTCATTTGATTCATCTGTTTAGTTACATTTTCAAATGTCCTGCATTCCTGTATGGCTACTTCTAATGTTAAATTTTTATTGGTTAGTAATTTCTGCAGCAAGACTGGACTACTTATTCCTTCTACTATCTGATCTCGAACACTTTCGTCAGACATCTCACCATAAGCACAGCTTTTTACTTGTTCCTTGATTTCTGTCAAAAATTCATCAAAATCCCTTTTCTCTTGCTTTATATTTCTTAAAATGTGTTTGTATGGACAGCAAACCATGAACTAAAATTTCAACAGCTAAAGAGAATGTTGACAGAAGCACCAGTTTTAAAATTCTTCGATACAAAAGAAGATATTACTATAACTTGTGACAGCTCACAA